CGCGGGGGTCCCCGGGACCCGCACCCCCACCGAGGGGTTACAGCGGGGGGGGAGACGCTGCGCAGCCCCCTGGGGGGGGCGGTCCGTGCCCGGGGGAAGTTGGGAATCAATCGCTAGATCGACCCGCCTCGCTGTAACGCTGCCTCCCGCCGCCCGGTGATTTGGGCTGGGAAAAGATCGATTTTGACACTTTTTGGGCTCGTTATAATGCCGTTTAAAGGGAAGCTCTCTCCGGTTACAGTTAGCAAAGTTGAGGCAAAGTTTGGGTTGGTTTTCCCCCCCCCCCCCTCTTTTCCCCCCCCTTCTTTTTTTTTTTTTGGTAAGAATTTGGTAGATAAAGGTTAATCTTGGGCTGAATGATAGAGCTGTGATTGACAAGAGAAAAGGTGTTGAGGGCAGGTCGAGCTGTCTTATTTACAGCCCACTGCTTGCTATAGAGCCTTTGTTAGGACTGGAAAGCTAATTTAGTGCTGATCAAAAGCACCACAGAGTTAAAGGACTGGTAATGACTGCTAATTTCATTTCAGCCTCATACATCCCCAACCGCTGTAATTAAAGACGCGCTATTTAAATACAGGTGAAGAGTTTTTGTAGTAGGGGGAAAGTGGGTAGCCGCTTACCATTTTATTTAGGCTTAATAAGGTAAAAGACCAACATTTAGGTTGATGATTTTGAGGGGGCGGCCGCCGCCTCCAGCCCGTGCTGGTGGCTCTGGGGATGTAGAAACACTTTAAAATAATAATAATTAGAATTTTTAAAAAAAATGCCAGCGATTTGTCCCCGAGAAGCGCTTCCCGACAGCCCGGCTCCTCCGGGAATGTCGCGATAGGCTGGTTTTCCCACGCCGAGGAAGAGGAGGGATGTTCCTCTGCGGGAGCGGGCAGGGGGGGGGGGCACCCCAGCGCCACGACCCCCTTCGGTGGCAGCGAAATAAGGAGGATTTTTCCCCAATTTGGGCGCTCCAGCCTTTCAGAGCCTCGTCCTTGGGGTTTCTTCCCCATTTTCCACCCATTTCAGGTGGCTCCAAGAAGTCGGCGCTGACAGGTGTCCCTCCCGGCACCGCTGATCGCCCCCTTCTCATTAAGGAAAAAAGCAATTAAAGTAGCATGTGTTTCATCCCCAAAGCGATAAAGTCGTCTAACCCCCCCCCCCGGCAAAAAAAAAAAATAATTCACGGGCAAAATAAACACCCCCCTCCCCAAATTGCTGGAAAAAGAAGAAGCCTTGTCCTAAGGGAGCGCCTGGAGTGGTTTTTTTTTTTCCTTCTTGACTGTGGAAATAACAGATTTAAAAGAAACCTGGGTGATAGAAAGCGATTAGCCAAAATATGGGAAGTGCTGCGTTGCCACCAACTTTATCTTTCTTTTCTTTTATATATATATATAATTATTTTTTTTAAGGATGAATTCGCTACTTATTTTATAGGCTTCTGCGTGGTGCGTTTAGCGGCGGTATTTGCGCGTTGCGGTAACACCCCGTGTTCCTCGCGTGCCAAAGAGGGACGCTAATGGAAACCAAATTATTCTGGTTAAATTTGGGCTTATTTTGTATCTCCTGTTGACAGCCCGGACCAAAGTCATCACGCCGCGGGTTTTCCATTTAAACGGGTCCCGGGGTTGTCGGTCTCCCGAGAAACTTTTCGCTTTAGGAATTATGACGCGGAGAGAGAGATTTTTAGAAAAGATTCTTGTTCCCCGCGCTCAGGGCACTTTCTCCATCCTCTCTCAGTTTTGATCCCCGCTTGAGGCTCCTCATAAGGCAGTTCTGCAGCGAGAGCTCCCAAAATAAAGACAGAGCATTTCTATAAATAATGGCAAGAGCCCCGCACAGATTTCCCGCACAACGGAATTCCCAGATTTCCTTTACTGTTCCTTTAGTTAGCGCGCCTTGGGTATATATAACTCCGAAATTAAGCAAAAAAATATACATCTGTATAGATCTGTCGAGCTGGCTATAACCAGAGATATTATATTCGGTCAATTACCACAGGAAACGGAAAAAATAAATAGAGAGCCGTTGGTCGGGGCGGTGTAACGTCAGGAGGCACTTCACCCCAAAATTGAGTGACTCCGGCTAAAAAGTGAATGATTAACCCGCTCCCAGAGCTCCCCTCGGGACAG